CCCTTCCACCCCAGGCATGCCCCATGTCTTCTCAACCTGTCCTCTCACTCGTTCAACAGCAATAGGTGGACCTCTTCTATGGAAAGGGCCTTACTGGCAAGTCATGAATTTTCAAAACAGGATTATTGATGTCAGGATAAAATGGGTAGGCGACATGAAAGAAGCAGAGGAAAAGGTCCTTGCCTGACACTTTCCTATGGAGCCTTCTGTTTTCCTTCAGTATTTTCTGAATATCTAAACACAGTTCTGAAAACATAAGTGTTATTAAATATCATCTTCCACAATTGTTTATAAATCAAGAACTCAAGGACACAGAAGGAAGAAAAGTAGATATTGGATGTAGGACAGAATCCTTGTTTCTCCTAGACAAAGAGTACCTCAAAGTAAGCCCAGGGCTTGAGCATCTATGTTTCATGCTACGAGTGGCTGAGTACACACACACACACACCACACACACACACACACAAGAAAATAAGGCAGGAAAATCCAATATCAAAGAAAAAAAGATGCAGGCTGGGCGCCAATGGCTCACATCTGTAATCCTAGCTACTCAGAAAGGCAGAGATCAGGAGGTGCACAATTCGAAGCCAGCCTGTGCCAATAGTTCGAAAAGACCCTATCTCAAAAAACCTATCATGACAAAGGGCTGGTGGAGTGGCTCAAGGGTAGGCCCTGAGTTCAAACCCAGTACTGTGCCAAAAAAAAAAAAAAAAAAGAAAGAAAGAAGGTGCATAGCTTAATAAATAATTTTTAAGCAGAAGAGAAGAGATTAATTTCAGAAAAGAGCTGTGCTAGGTTCTTCTAGTTGTCCAGGTTCCTTTCAACTATACAAGAGAGCAACAAGGGGCTGAAAAATTATCAGGCAAACTGGGAACACCTGTCCAGAGGACAGCTGCTAACTCATATCTCCTCATGCTCTTCATGAGGTGTCCAGGGTAACATCCTATTAGTGAATACTAACTACATTTCAATTAGGCATGGTAACAGGGAAGGGAACAGAAGGCAGCAGTCAAGGGCAAGGTCACTACAGGGGAAAAGAAAAGAGAGACTCCTACTGAGTCTCCACCTTAGGACAACTGCAAAAGAGCAGTGTAACTCCTTGGGAATGGGAGAAGCCCAAGGAGGCCCAGGCAAAGGCTTCAATACCACTCAAGCCACTAAGCAACACTACACCTGGTAACAGGATTCTGGTCGACATAATATTATAGCCTTTCAGCTTCTTCATATACATTTTTTGGGTCATCCTCACTGTAATCTAGTAAGTTCTATAAAGAAAAGAGTATCGTATGTGCATATGAGGGAGCTGGGGCTAGGAGAAAGAGAATGATTCACTGCTGCCACCCTGCAACAGAGGGCAAAGCAAAAGCTCCTCTCCCAGACTGCTTTGAAGAATAGATTCTAAAGGGCGAGAGTTAGTGCCTCCCAGGGTTGAAGAAAATGGATGAGTTGTTTATTTTTTTTTTTTTTCTTGGTGGCCGGGGTTTGAACTCAGGGCTCACCCCTGCTAGGCAGGCACTCTTACACCTTCAGTCTCCGCTGCCCTTTTTTGTGATGAGTTTTTTTGGGTCTCTCAAACTATTTGCCAGGGGCTGGCTTCAAACCTCAATCCTCCTGATCTCTGCCTCCTGAGTAGCTAAGATTACAGGCGTGAGCCTCTGGTAGCTATCCTGGATGAGTTTATCTGAAAGGTTCAAAATCATGGACAGAGTGAAAATAAATAGATCTAATAATAAAGTATTAAGATTCTAGCCCAGTATATTCTTCAGATAAGAGAAAAAGGACAGTGATAATACTAGCACATACCTAGTCATCTAGAGTAAAGTCAGAAACCCAGATGCAAACTATTTCAAAAAAAGTCCAAGACATCATCTGAGGATTTGGGGGAAGAACATCTTAAACAAATGCAGGACAGAAAGCTGAGCAACAGTCAACTACAAGCAAGAAACTCTGAAGAAGAATATGAAGAAAGAAAAAAAAAGAAAGAATATGAAGAAAATACAAAAGCCCCCCCCCCCCCCCCCCCCCCCCCCCCCCCCCCCCCCCCCCCCCCCCCCCCCCCCCCCCCCCCCCCCCCCCCCCCCCCCCCCCCCCCCCCCCCCCCCCCCCCCCCCCCCCCCCCCCCCCCCCCCCCCCCCCCCCCCCCCCCCCCCCCCCCCCCCCCCCCCCCCCCCCCCCCCCCCCCCCCCCCCCCCCCCCCCCCCCCCCCCCCCCCCCCCCCCCCCCCCCCCCCCCCCCCCCCCCCCCCCCCCCCCCCCCCCCCCCCCCCCCCCCCCCCCCCCCCCCCCCCCCCCCCCCCCCCCCCCCCCCCCCCCCCCCCCCCCCCCCCCCCCCCCCCCCCCCCCCCCCCCCCCCCCCCCCCCCCCCCCCCCCCCCCCCCCCCCCCCCCCCCCCCCCCCCCCCCCCCCCCCCCCCCCCCCCCCCCCCCCCCCCCCCCCCCCCCCCCCCCCCCCCCCCCCCCCCCCCCCCCCCCCCCCCCCCCCCCCCCCCCCCCCCCCCCCCCCCCCCCCCCCCCCCCCCCCCCCCCCCCCCCCCCCCCCCCCCCCCCCCCCCCCCCCCCCCCCCCCCCCCCCCCCCCCCCCCCCCCCCCCCCCCCCCCCCCCCCCCCCCCCCCCCCCCCCCCCCCCCCCCCCCCCCCCCCCCCCCCCCCCCCCCCCCCCCCCCCCCCCCCCCCCCCCCCCCCCCCCCCCCCCCCCCCCCCCCCCCCCCCCCCCCCCCCCCCCCCCCCCCCCCCCCCCCCCCCCCCCCCCCCCCCCCCCCCCCCCCCCCCCCCCCCCCCCCCCCCCCCCCCCCCCCCCCCCCCCCCCCCCCCCCCCCCCCCCCCCCCCCCCCCCCCCCCCCCCCCCCCCCCCCCCCCCCCCCAGGTTCTTCACCAAAGGTGAGATGTAGAAAGGACTTAGCAGGGAGTCTGCACACAGAGAGCAGCTGGCTAGTAACTGCCAGTTGCTATGAGGGTGGCAGTCATACAGCAGCAGTAGTAACATTAGAAAGCCAGGTCCTTTCCCAAAACCAGTTTCCAAGTTGTGGCCAAAAAACCCAAAGTCAGTTTACTGTGATCTCAAATGCTTCTTAATGAAGAGGGCAGACTCTGTCCTCAACCTTCTTATTGACACATCTGCAAGAAGTGCTGTAGTCTCTTCTGTTAAGCCTAATATGTTTTTCAGGTGACTAGAAGACTTTGAAGGTAGAGAGTCAGTGGACAGCCAGTCTGTATAATTTGGTCTCAATCCACATACTTACATGTGGATTGAGACCATCCCCAACTAAGAGTGGTCTCTATCACCAACCCCACCTGAGTTTCCTGAAGCCAGCAGAAGTCCATAGGCAACCACTAAGACAAAGTTACGAGGACACCTGTCACCTCCCACACACTGTTCAGCCTTCCTTCAGTCCTTACACATATCAAGCCTGGCTAATGAGCTTTAAGGAGAACAACATTACCAGGCACTGGTGGCTCATGCCTGTAATCCTGGCTATTCAGGAGGCAGAGATCAGGAAGATCAAGGTTCGAGCAGTTCTCAAGACCCCATCCCGAGAAAACCGTTCACAATAAAAGGGCTGGTGGAGTGGCTCAAGGTGTAGGCCCTGAGTTCAGACCCCAGTACCATACAAAAAAACGAAAAAGAGCAGCAGCATCAGGGAGAAGACAAAACTCGACAGCTCCATTTTCCACCCTCCGCTCCCACACATTTAGTCTCTCTACTCCCCACTGATCTTTCCTTTCCTCTTTCCTAGGATTGCTAGAATGATTTGTTCTGAGCAGCGACAGGTTTATAGGTTAGCCGACACCTCTGCTCTGTGGAATTTTAATTGACTTCTCCCATCGTCAATATGCTAAGGAAAGGGGTCTCCATTTTCTGGGGTCAGCAATGTGTTTCAGGTCCTGCTATATCAGCCGTCAAATTGAAGAATTAATGACGTGGCTAATCGGCTCTAATTCTTAGGAAGAAAAAAATCTGAAAGGGAAGAGAGCAGGAGGAGGTATGCAGGTTCCATGGGGGTGAGGAGGAAGAGGCTAAAGGGGGTTGAGCAAAGGGGACACCAACTCACTCATAAAACAAGTGACTGACTTAACCCAGGAGGTTGGAGGGTGGCAGCCCTATAGCTTTTCTAATTCCATTTAGGTAGGAAGTAAGAAGTAAAGGAAGTGGGGAAAGCCCCTAGTAACTATTGTGATGGTATAGGAAACAGTGGCCATGAACCCTGCTGGGTAGGAGAGAGGCCTGGCTTTGGGTCAAGAGAGCCTAGAAAGCAGAAATTAGGATGCAAAGATCACTTGTTCATACTTCTCTAGTTAAAGAAAAAAAAAAAAATTAGCCAAAGGATAAAGCAACCAATCATTAAAAATGTTGTACTTCTAGTTGGGTGTGGTGGCACATGCCTGTAAGCCCAGCACTCAGGAGGCTGAGGTAGGAGGATGATGAATTTGAGGCCAATTTGGACTATGTAGCAAGACCCTACCTCAAAAAAAAAAAGTGATTTTGCTATAATTGTCAATGTTTTCTCCTGCTCTGCAGACATGTCTTTGGATGAGGGACCAAATGAACATAGGCCTCAAGTCTCTCTTGATAACTGGTACCTGTAAGAGACACTCCAGAGGACAATTTTCAGGGGAACAAAGCAGAGATGTGAGTCCTGCACAACCTGCTAACCTGCTGTCACTTCCCAGGGATATGATGAGGCTTCTGCTTTTGCACAACCCCAGAGGGCATCCACTCCAGAAAGAATACCCCTGTTAACGCTGGACTCTTAGTTACATTCAGTATGGTATCTTTTTTGAGACTAGATACTTTGGAAATTAGGTTCTAGAAGGTTATCTCAACCCCACGAATATAAGAAAAGACCTAAAGGCCTCAAGTCTCTAGAGAGACTTGAAAAAACTCCAAGGGATTGGCTCAAAGCAACTTAAAATATACACATAGAAGATTCCTAGGTCATCTGACCTAATAAAACAAAAGCATTATTATAAGAGACAAAATAACTGCCAAAAATGTCTCCCTTACCTGAGTAATGGGCTGATAGCAATGGACCAGACCCGGTCTTCAGTCTGGATGGTGTGTAAGCACTGCCCCAGCCGACCTGAGGCCAAAGGCCATACCTGGAAATAGGAGAGGAGATGCTCTCATTGGCATTGCTTCTGATTAGGAAAGAGGAAAGGTGCAAAAGGAGGAATGACTATGACTACAGGTAGGAAAATAGAGAATCTTCTGTCCCACTTAGGATATCAACAGAGAAGCCTCTCCAACTTCTGATTTGCCTGCCACAGAAACAGACTTTTTTGAGGGACTGGGGTTTTGAACTCAGGGATTGGAGCTTGCAAAACAGGTGCTCTACCACTTGAGCTACACCTCCAGTCCCACAAAGATAGCTTCTTGCTTCTGGTCCTAACCACCCTCTTTTACTTCCACCTAAGAGCCTTTACTTACCAGCCAATTTTACTCCAGGGAATCAGAAGTTCCACATTCCCTACCTGAAAGTTGACTAAGAAGGAGTGGATAGATGAGGCTTGTGCCTCTCTCAGCAGCTTCCCCATGTTTGTGGATCTTCCTTTCTCCTATCTCTCGCCAAGAGTTTACTTTGGGTCATTAGAGATGGGTAGGAAGATGAAGGTACAGTATAGGAGGTAGATAAGAGTTATAGAGAAGAGTAAAAAGAAAGCTGTAAGGGAAGGAGAGACTGGAAGAAGAGAGTTCAAAGCAGGGAGGTAGTGTGGTGGTGTTTGTTCATAATGATCAGATCCAAAGCTATTCATGACAGCAGGGAATTTAGCACCTAGTGTCACCAAAAGTAGCAGAAAAGCTTAACTCTTTTAAGCTTCCATATCTCCACAGGTTAAAAATATTGCTTGGAGCACACTATCTGGTCCCTATCAGTCAGGAATGTACATTAGCAGCCACTCTAGGCTTAACTCTAATCAACGCTCCTAGAGCCCTCTCAGCAGTCAGTGCATTTAGGAATCTCCCATTAAGCACAGGGCTCCCCTCACCTCACCCAACCTCAGATGACACACACAGGGACATAAGCCTCTAACCAAACAGAAAGGAAACCTCAAATGTACAAGGCTGTCCCTAGACAGCAGCCAGAGGGATCCAAGGCAGCCAGATGGATCAATGACCTCTCAAGGTCCCTGCAGTGCTATAAGAGGAACACATCAGATGCAGGCAGGTCCTTAGATGGAAGAACTTTAAGGAAACATTCCTTCGATGTAAGGGATAGGTGATGGAATGGGGGTGGTCCTGCCTTCTTAGGGTCACATGGTATCTCTTCCCTATAAAAGGAGAAAGTGTTTTTTAGAGTTTGAGTGTATGGTGGGGGTGGGAAATGGGGTGATTGTGTGAGTAACTTTTCCCAACACTGAGAAAAGAAAATAAATTCAACAAGGAGATCCTAAGTGAGGCAAGGCAGAAAACAAAGGTAAATACCTGGAATACCAGGATTACAGCTTATCCTTTGGGCTTGATAGTCAATCCTTTTGGTAGGCACTAGATGCACTTCTGATTTTCTCCTTTAAACTGCCTCAGATTGGAAGAGAGCTTTTTAGTTCCCTAGATCTGAACTCCCTGGGAGGCAGGTTCTTGATTTCAGGGGAGGGAGACACAAGACTCTGATTTACAAAGTCCCTGGAAGACAACATAGGCCTGAATTCACTAGTGGCCTCCATGGAGAAGGCTGGTGGATCCTTAGATTCTGCAAACCACAGAACAAAGTCCCTGGTCTCCAGAACTGGTGCCATACCAATTCTGAGCATGACTGGGAAAGTGTGCCTCCCAATCCCCCTCAGCAGCCCAGCATCCTCCAGCAATATGAGTATCCTGGCACCAGAGGGACAGGAGTTGACACAGTATACTGATCATAGATTTTACTCTCTGTGGCCAAATTCAAAACAGACCTATCCTGGAAAAGACTCAGTGGGAGTGGACATTCATATAGCCCTTTTACAAAGCAGATTGTGGGTAGCAAGACCTTTAAAATGATCAAAGTCTTTGACTCATGAACTCTAATGCTGAGAGTCTATCCTAAGAAAATAATCCTAAAATGAAGAAAAACCTAAATGGTAAAATATTCCCTGCAGCTTATGTGTGCGCAAAAAGCATGAACAAGCTTTGGAATCTGATTCAAATCTGGATTTGAATCCTAGTTGTTACTTATTATCTTTGGCCTTAGGGATGTTTCGTAACAACTAAGCCTCAGTTTCTTCATGTGAAATGGGAAATAATGCCTGTATCTCAGGATTGTAGTGTAGAAAAGTGAAGGTAAGTATAAAGCACTTATTAACACAATAGCACAGTATTTGCCAGATACCAGGAATTCAGTAAAGGTGTTTTTTTTTTTTTTTTTCAGTACTGGGGCTTGAACTCAGGGCCTTCACCTTGAGCCACTCCACCAGCCCTATTTTTGTGAGGGGTTTTTTGAGATAGGGTCTCGCAGACACTTGCCCGGGCTGGCTTCGAATCACAATCCTCCTGGATCTCTCTCTGTCTCCTAAGCAGCTAGGATTACAGGTGTAAACCCGGCAAAGTGATTCTTATTACCAGGAAAGAAAAGGATTCTCTAGCGATGCCTACCTCAGAAGTCTTGCAAAGAAAATGTTTTAGTCCCCTTTACCCCATATATCCAACTCTTTCCTAAAAGTACATATTTAGGGAACCCAAAAAAACAGGCTATAGATGTTTATAGGCAAACATCACCTATAAATTCTTAGGTAGGTTTAGGCATATTAAAAACCCCAGAAGCAGTTGTAGAAGTACAACTTCTACATCAGTGGCATCTGCCACTGAAAAAAAATAGTTATAAAAGAAAAATTGTATGGAAATAACCCAGATGCCCTACAATTGATGAATTGATTAAGAAAATGTGACACACACAACACACACACACACACACAGACACACACACACACAAAGGGAGTTTTATTCAATCATAAGAAAGAATGAAACTATGTGGTTTGAAGGTAAATGGAAGCAGCTGGAAGACATCGTGTTAAGTGATGTAAGCTAGGTTCAGAAAAAGACCACATGTTTTCTCTCATATGTGGAAGTCAGATCCAAAAGGTAATCACACACACAAAAACAAACATGATTATATACACATTTATATATAGAACCTGTTTGTAATAGTGGAATTACTATATAGTACTCAGTAGAGGAAAAGAGAATCATAGTCACAATATCGAAATATATAATATTTGTGCAGATAGAGGACATAACAATATGAACTGAAAACTGTTGAATAATAGGAGTAGGAAAGAAGTGGTGAGAGTAACAAAGAGGACTGAACTGACCAAAATAAAGCATATTCACAGCTTTCAGCTGGGATACATTGAGATATCCCTTTGAACATTGACGTTGGAATTAAAAATGAGAAACAGGGACTGGCGGAGTAGCCCAAGTGGTAAAGTCCCTGCCTAGTAAGCATGAGGCCCAGAATTCATAACCCCAGTACAGCCAAAAAATAAAATGAAAATGAAACACAGAACTGTAAAAGAGGTACAGTGTTGGGAGGGTACTTGTGGAAGGGGGAGGGGGAATAGAGGAGATGAAGGTATGGGAATATGGTTGATGGGTTTCATACACATATATGAAATAGCAATTGCTTTAAGTGGGGCAAGAAGCAGGTCAATGGGGGTGGATGGTGGGGGCGATCTAACCAATGTACAGTGTAAGGCTATTCAGAATTGGCACAATGAATCCCCCCTGTACAACGAATATTGTGCTAATAAAAATGAAAAAACAATTTTAAATAAATAATAGTCAAATTGTGAGTAATGTGGAAATGGGTCAGGAAAAGGAAGGTGGCTAGAAGAAAAGACATCAACAGAAAGGAAAGAAAACTAAGAAGCCTCCAGAAAACTAGAAAAGATGAATTGGCTGGTAGGTCATTGGGGAGCCCCAAAACAACTACCTTTAAGAAGGTAAGGAGGAATCAAAGAAGAGAATTCTGCTGGTGGGACTGGGGTTTGAACTCAGGACTTCAGGTTTGCAATGCAAATGCTTGAGCCACTCTGCCAGTCTATTTTGCTCTGGTTATTTTGGAGATGGGATCTCACGAAGTATTTGCCTAGGCTGGCCTTGAATCTCAATCCTCCTGATCTCAGCCTCTCTGGTAGCTAGGATTACAGATGTGAACCACCTGTGCTGAATTTTAATAAATAAATAAATAAATATTTAAATAAATAAATAAATAAAGCTGGTCCCTGGTGGCTTACACCTATAATCCTAGCTACTTGTGAGGTTGAGATTGGGAGAATTGGGGTTCAAGGTCAGCCCAGGCAAAAAGTTTGTGAGACCTCATCTCAATGGAAAAAAGCTGGGCATGGTAGTACAGGCCTATCATCCCAGTGATGATGGGAAGCCTAAAATAGGAGGCTAGCAATCCAGGATGGCCTGGGCAAAAAACAACCCTATCTCCAAAATAACTAGAACAAAAAGGGCTAGAGGTGTGCCTAAGCAGTAGTGTGCCTCCCTAGCAAGCACTAAGCACGAAAATCTGAGTTCAAATTCTAGTACTACAAAACAAAAAAAAAAAGCTAAAGCCACTGAATCAGTATTTTGTCTGAGATGAACCTCAATTTCCACATAAAGTTGTTGTCATTCTTCAACCGTAAGAATTCACACCCTCAGATTGCTGCATGTGATGGCAAGCCTAGTTTTTTTTTACTGCTTTGGGTGTCAGACCAATGGAAAATAGGATAGAAGAAAGACATGTCAATAAAAAGGAAGATCCAGGGAAAACCTGAAGCAATGACAGTAAGATGCCAAAATAATATGAGAATACCTAGATTACATATGGTAATAAAGGTTTCCTGTACAAATTTATTTTTGAGTAGTATGGCAAGTTAAAACCAGTATCTTTGTCAGGAATGCTACAAAGGCAGTGACCAATCAGAAAAACGGAAGTGTGGGATATGAACACGAAGAAAAGATAATAAGAAATTCAGGTTCTGCATTGGTTCAAAACATTTTGCTGGATTTTTCTCAGGTTTCCTTGTGCTGGTATACATTTTTCTCTGACTAAATACAAAATGCAAGGCAGAAAACAGCAAAGGGAAGAGAAACATCTTATAAATAGAAGGGACCATATTTAGCCCTTCTTTATATAAATCAGCAACATGAAGGAGTAATCACTAGAGGGTACATGGAGTCAAGAAAGTTACTCAGTAAAGAAGGCAACTTCATCTTCTAAGAGCCCTCTCCCTAATGTGGCTTAAAAAGCCCACTTGCTGACACCAAATACATTTTGCTTCCTGTTAGCAACTACAGAGCCACTAAATGCTGGGAAAGAGACAAGCAAGACACTGCTGGATCTCCCGTACTACTACTGAATTGTCAGCAAATGTTCCCACAGCAGCCCCAAGGATCAGGTCTGTGTCCTAGGTAGGGCTTCTGGACACAGGCCTGGAGAAAAGAATTTCTTCTTTTTCAGGACCCAAATGTGGATGAGCTGGGTCTACAAAGCAAGGATCACACTGTTTATCAGCCTCATTCTTTTATGCCTTGAAGGTATCTGTGGGTCAGGCAATTTGGCAATGATGCAACAATAATGCTGTTCCTCACAGTCTGTACTGCTTACTGACCAACACTGTTCTCCAGAGAAGCAGTAAAAACATATTTTAATTATCAGCCTGATTGCTTTAATAAACAAGGTGGTGAAAAATTAACCTCCCCAAACAGAGAGCAAGTAAAAGGACGAGATTTTAAAATAAAATTATTGGGGTCAGATCTCAGCCCACAAACTTGAGGAAACTCGCTCAAGAGGAAAAGCTGGCCAGGGTCTCTCTGTTTTTGAGTTTCACACCACATTTCAAGTGAGTGGCAAGCTTCCAGCCACTGTCCACTCCTTTCCAGTCCAGCTGCAGGGACACAGCCTAGCATGGCAAACTGCATGCCAGAACCACATAAGTGAGTCCTTTATTGTGTTGTTTCTCCCCTGCCCCTACCCAATGCTTTCATCCAATACTGGACTCAAGGCCTATCTACCCTCTCCCACCCCAGTCCCTACAGACATAAGGAAATAACAGTATCTAAGGATGAGACCACCTCACCTTGGCTGTCCTGTCCCTGGAGCCGCTCACAATGATGCCCCCTTTGCAGTCCACACAGTTCACTTCCTGTTCATGAGCCGAGTACTTGACAGTGAAGGTGCTATGAATCTCATGAACACGAATCTTCCCATCTCTAGAAGAAACAAGGAGGCCACCCACAAGAACAATTATTCTCTCTGTAGGATGAGAACAAGTCTACTGAAACAGCCCATCCACTGACATCCAAATTTGTTAAGTGTTAGGCAGTTCTGCACAAAGACGCGCAAGCTTCTAGATCCCTTTACTTCTTCAGCACTCTTGGGGCTGAACAGAGCTGAGAAAGAAAACAAATTTTCCTTTGGAGTATCAAACCAGCTTCATTTTGCATTAAAGCTCTTCCTGTATTTCTTCTCAGCTAACTATATTAACAACTTTTGTAAATCTCTGCATTAAATGGAAAAAAACTACCACCCCTCTTCTCTAGTCTCCCTCCTCATCCCTTTGGAGTTGAGACAGGAAAGTCAGAGTCAGGCACAGGTCCCTGAAGAGACTAAGGAAAAAGCAGAAGGAGAAACCTGCAGCACTTACGCTCCTGCACTGACAATATGTGAGTTGGCCAACACAAAGTGACAACGTCCTCATCATGCCCAGCAAAGACTCCCAGGGGCCGACGTTCAAGCTGGCACCATCTGGGCGGAACTGGTAGGCTAGGATGAATTAGCCTGGGTATGTACAGAGAATCATCCTCTAGCTGCATCCAGGGCATCTGACTGCAAAGATGGAAAAGACAATGTAAGGCTCATCAAGATACAGGGCAAGGGACTGGGGATGTGATCAGTGTTAACAACTTGCCTAGCACAGGGCCCTAAGTTTGCTCCCAGCAAAATAAGAAAAAAAAGATATAGCACAAAAGATATACTCTTAAGCCGGGTGCCAGTGGCTCACACCTATAATCCTAGTTACTTGGGAGCTAGAGATCAGGAAGATTGAGGTTCAAAGACAAATAGCTCAAAAAATAACCCAACATAGGGCTGGCAGAATAACTCAAATGGTAGAGGACCTATTTAGGTAACTGTGAGGCCCAGAGTTCAAATCCCAATACTGAAAATACACACACACAAAAGTGTTGGCAGAGTGCCTCAAACTGTAGAGTGCCTGCCTAGCAAGTGTGAGGCCTTGGGTTCAAACCCCAGTACTGCCACAAAAAAAAAAAAAAAAAAAAAAAACTAACTCTAATCTTTGAAGAGGTTGGCCAGTCTCCAACCTAGCCAAGATAACCTGCAAGGCTAACAGGCTGCACCTTAATCTTGGCCTTCAAAATTGCCTACTCCTTAGCTACCCTCAGATACATAAGTGATTAAGCTTTAATCACTTTTAAGAGAGTCCAAATTACAAACTGAGTTAAATCTCTCTCTCTCTCTTTTTCTCTCTCTTTGTCTTTGTGACACAGTCTCACTGTATAGCCCAGGCAGCCCTCAAACTTGCTATCTTCCTTCTGCTTATGCTGGGATCATAAGCATATACCACCATGGCCAGCTAATATCCCTTTTAATTGAAAAATGCTTATTATTTCAATTACTGGCTGCCTGGAGTTCTAGGGGAATAGGCAGCGCTTACAAATTAACGGCTGAAGAGTAGGGAGGGTCAAAAGAAATCTTCCAGCCATGTGAAGTAATTTTTCTTTCATTCTGTGCTCATTGAGTGTTAACTGGTAAGTTTCAAGGTTCCAAGGCTCCCAATATATACCTTGTCCACAAGATCTATTAAACTGGCATGGAGAAAGTGAGCCATGGGAAGTCCATTCTCTTGTTATTAATGCAAAGGAGTCGTTTATAAATAAAAAGAATAAAGCACTTGGAAGTCTGCTAATGTAATGATAGATATCTAGATCCTTCCAGGGATATCTATATTTCTCTACTAGAGGCAATATGGCAATGGAAAAATAGCTTCAAAGCAGTCTGCTGCAATTCAGGGGCTTATAGAGAAATCAGCTTCAAAGCAACTGATAAGAGAAATCACAAATAAGTTAAAGATTCCTCTCCAATCTGCAGAAGGATGAAAGGTTAGAAGCATCCAGGCCGTCTCATAGAAGCGTCTTAAGAAAAAAAGGACTCTCAAAAACTAGCCTCTTGATGGGAACCAAGGCAGACATCCCACCTGTCCTACCCATCTAGGACCCTGGAGCTACAGCTACCATCCATGTACAGACACCATCTCCACTGCCAAGTCTGTCTGAGCAAACTGGGCTGTTTCTTCCCCAGGCTCCTTAAAACAAGCGTCATGGGAATGTGGAAAAGTTCAGCAAATTGGCTTGACGGGCCATTAAGTGCAGCTTGGACTTTGTAGTAACTGAGTTTCTGCTCATGAGATTTTTATAAGTGTGTGCATATATTATATGGAATCTGTGTAGAGTATATACAGAAGCTCAAATTCTCACTCATTATGCATAGTCCTTTTCAACATCCTCTGCATGAGTATATGGCACACTCAAACAGGTAGCAAACATAGGGGTTGGAATTCATGTGTTTAGAGCCATTTGGTAAGCAGCCATTTGCCTAGGACAAGAAACCAGGTTCATGCCAGGTGAACAGTGGAGAATCCTGGGCAGCCTGGTAACTCTCTATGTGTTTATTTGCCAAACTGCTTGAATGTGGGTCCAGTGACCAAAAGACAACATCAAGACAACAACATAAATCTTGATAGAGAAATAACTCTACCCTCTAGTGTTTAAAAAGCACAAGTGGCTGGGTATGGTGGTTTTATACCTGTATCCAGCACCCAAGAGGCTGAAGCAGGAGGATGACAAATTCAAAGCCAGCTTGGGTTACACAGCCACATCCTATTTTAATAATAAATAAACAACAACAATAAAACAACAACATAGGCACAAATGGAAAGCAAAAGAAAGTTCTTCATCATAATATCTCTCTTTCTCTGCCATATATAATCTTGCTTCTTTGCCACCATATAATTTTTTACCACCACCATATAGTTACTGCAACTGATATCAATCAAACCATGGAAACTGGACATAAGCAAGAAAGAAAGGGTCACCAGAAGCAGAATCCTGCTAGACTATATCTATCAGCATAGAGACAGGTAGCCTGAATGAGTCATGAAGCTCCTACCCATTGGAAAATCAACAAGAATTACTTTTTTGGTAGGAAGTCAAATAATAACTATGAAATAATTTGGCATTAATGAAGCACTGTGATATTAACAGTTGCCACAGCTATCATCTAAATTCTGTAGCATTTTTTCTAAGTTCTACCTCCTGTAACATGTATATCCAAATATTTAGACCCTATTTTACCTTTTAATAAGATAATGAAGGTGGAGGTATAGCTCATGATAGAATGTTTGCCCAGCACGTGCAAGGCCCCTAATTCGATCCCTAGTACTACAAATAAAATAGAGAAACAGATCTGAAGAAAGATAAGAGGAAGAAATAACTCTCTAGAATAGAAGAGTTAAAGAAAAATAATTGTAAAACAAATACATTAGAACACTGGCTTCAATTATGCTCCTTGATGAAGTAAGTTAAAAGAGTTACTATCTCTGGGTGGTAGAATTATTGGTAGGTTTTATTTTCTTCTTTATGTTTTTCTAATTCTTTTAAAAATTTGTATAACATCATTTTTTTGTAATCATAAAAATAATGGGATTTCTTAAAACAAAGTACATTTTTTATAATCTTTTTAAAAATGTGAATACAAGGTGTCCTCTAATGCACCTTTGTAGTGTTTGAAGGATCACCAATGCCAGCCACCCAAGACAGCCCCTATTACACTAGGACCCAGTTTCTCACTTTCCATTATATTCTTTTGTCCCAGGAAGCTTTAAAAGAGTCAAGACTTACCTGCATCTCCACTTTAGCAGAATCCCCTCTCGACAGCGTCCCAGCCTCCAGTTCTGAGACACTTTCACCCGTTCCTTCACTGGGATGCTGGTCATCCTATGTCCAAACAGAACAGATAATTCAGTCACTGCAACTCATTGCCAACAAGAGAAAATTACATGGGTTGCTGAGTCAGGACTCAGAAATATCCAAAAAAAACAAATAAATATATATATGCTAAAGGGATTAGGAAACCAGGAAGGAATAACTCTCCTCTCATAATACCTGGATAACCAAGAAAGCCAAGGAGAAAAGCATGCCCATTAAACTACTAGAAGTGTCTACAGTGATGCCAAGGCCATCGAATGGAGAACAGACGACAAACAATGCTGGAACCCCTGGATATCACATGGAAAAAAGAAATCAACCCTGACCCCACCTCACATCAAACAGAAAAAGTAATTCAAAATAGATCACAGACCTAAATGTAAAATCTAAAACTACAAAGCTATTACACATCAAAACATCCCTCTGGCTGGTGGAGTGGCTTAAGTAGTAAGTAGAGTGCCTGCCTAGTGAGGCCCTGAGTTCAAACCCCAGTACCACAAAAAAAAAAAAAAAAAAAAAAGTTAAAACATCTGTCTAGGGGAGTTAGGCAAAGTTTAGGACACAGAAAGCGATAACATAACAGAAAAATTCAATTAGACTATTGAAGTTAAAAACTTATACTCAACCAAAATGAATGTATAAGCTACACCTGGAGGAAATGTATATCAGACATAGGGCTTGTATCAAAATGAAGAAATCTTCTGTGTGTGTGTGTGTGTGTGTAAACTGTACATATACATACACACACATACTACATACATATATATTTTTTTTAAGACAGGGTCTCATTATATAGCCCAGGCTGACCTTGAATTCAATATCCTCTTGCCTCAGTCTCTCAAATGCTGGGATTACAGATGTGTGCCACCACTCCCAGACTCTGTTGATAGATAGATAGATAGATATAGAAATATATATATTATATGTATATATAGAGAGATCTATATCTATATCTATCTATCTATCTATATATATATATATTTTTTTTTTTTTTTTTTTTTTTTGGTGATACTAGGAGTTGAACTCAGGGCCTCCACTTCAGCTGGGTCCCTGGCCCTTTTGTTTTTTTAAGTTTTTGAAATAGGGTCTCACTAACTTTGCTGGGGTAGCCTTGAACTAGATCTTCCTACCTCTGTCTCCTGAGTAGCTGGGATTATAGGCATGTGCCACCACACACAGCTCTGTTAATACATTTTAATTTATTTTTTAGAAGAAGAAAAAAAAGCAATTTTATTACTAAGCATTCAAACCAGAATATTATACATATCACAGGCAACCTGCTAAAGAAACTGCAGGGACAGAAATCTCATCCTTTTATATATCTGTTCATATATTTTTAAAGATCAATAAGGAATTTCCTACATTGGTGGCAGGAAAGCAAAATGGTACAACCACTGTGGGGTGAGATCTGGCAATTTATTATAAATCTAAACATACACCTACCCTATGGCCTAACAAGTACCCAAGACAAGAGCATATGTACACAAAGATACAAGAACGCTCATAGGGAACTTTAGTTATAATGGCTAAAAGCTGTAAAGAGCCCAGACATCCATTAACAGGAGAATGAATAAAAACACTGTGGTATGTTCATATATACCACTCAGCAATTAAAAGAAGTACTGATATACACAGTAATGCGGACAAACCACAAAACATTAAGCTGCAGGAAGGAAACCTTACATTAAATTTCATTTACATGAACTTGAGAAAAGGGTTAACTAACCTCTGATGAAAAAAAAAATCCGAACAGTGACTAATGCCAGGGTGGGGACAGGGACTGACTGAGAGGAACATGTGGAAACTTAGTGGGGTAATTGTCTGTATCTAAATCTTGAAGGACTTCGGTTTCTACAGACTTGCATGCATCTGTCAAAAATGCATCAAACAAGCCAGGCACAGTGATGCAGGTCTGGAATTCCAGCACTTGGAAGGCTGAGGAAGGGGGCCTGTGAGTTTGAGGCCAGTTGAGGCTACATAAAGAGTTACAGGCCATCCTGAACTACACAGCAAGACCCAAGGGCAAATAGTTCAAAAGACTGCATCCTCATCTCCAAAATAATCAGAGCAAACTGGACTATAGGTATGGTTCAAGTGGTACAGCACCTGCTTTGTCAGCATAAAGTCCTGAGTTTAAAACCCAGTTCCACAAAAAAAAAAAAAAAAAGGTTTTTTTATTCAAATATAAATTTTACCTAAATATAAATTTACTGTTTAAATTTTTCTTTTTAAAAAATTCACAAAAACAAAAAAAAAAAAAATAAAAAATTCACAAACTAAAGTGTAGGCATTGCTAAATGGTAGAACACCTGCCTAGCAAGCATGGGGCCCTGAATTCAAACCCCAGTACCACCAAAAGAAACCCCCAAAAATCCACAAAGACACTGTAGACTGGCAAGGGGATCAGGGGAAAGACAATAGAGGCAATGTAAATAATGTACAATATAAGTCTAATTGGAATTGTCACTATGACTCTCTCCCGTATAATGAATATACCCTAATAAAAAATTTATTTAAAAAAAAATGTACTGTAGTCAATGAAATGCATGCACACTCAAGCGTTTAGGGGTAAAGTATACTGGTATCTGTAACTTACTTTGAAATGCACAATTAAGCAAATATAGCCAAATAATTATAGAATCTAGGTGGTAAATATACAAATGTTTATTGTACAATTCATTGAACTTTTCTATATGTTTAAAATTTTTCATCAAAAAAATATTGACTAGGGAGTGTAAATGGTAAGTTTCTTGGAGAAAGGTTACAGCAGCAAGAGTTAAGGATGCACACCAGAAGGAAGAATGGCATAGTTTAGGGTGGGTGGATAGGGAGACCACTCAAAGCTCTTTGACAGTCCAACTTTAGGCAGAATTCTGAAACCATTGGCAAGAATTTGAAAATTCTGTTAGCCACTGTCTCCCCTGTCTCCAAGGCATACTCCATTTGACAATACAAGGTACACTGCTTGGGACACACAGTGATAACTACCATGTCTGCCTAAAGAGACACTGGCCAAGGGAAGAGACACATTTCTCCTTGCCTCTAATTATACCTTCATATCTACCACCCTTTACTAAAAGCCAACAAGCAAGTCTCATTTCCAAGCCTCTAATGGACAACTTACCAAGGATGATTTAGGCAGGCAGAAAGATATCTAATTGCTAGATAAACAATATTTTGCTTTCTGGCCTTACTTATTTGCATGGAATAATTATTTTTGGTTAATAAAGTAATGAATGTACAAGGTTTTTTAAAAACAGATTTATAATATGAAAGATTAACAATGCAAAAGTGAGTTAAGTCGTTCTCCTACACCTGTGTCAACTCTCCCTCCTCCCACACACACTCCACTCAGCTTTCCCCTAATGTTAAGATCTTACATAACCATGGTACATTTGTCAAAACTAAGAGCTTAACACTGATACGTTATTAACAAACTCCAGGTTTTGGTCAGTCTTTTTCTGCCCCAGGATCCAGTCTAAGACTGCATGCTGTATTCAGTCATCACGTTCCTTAGTCTCCTCTGGCCCATAGCAGTTTTCAGTCTTTCTTGTTTTTCATGATCTTAACACTTATTAAATTTTCCTTTTATCTCTGTAATTCTAAGAAGTGAAAAATTCTTCCTCCCTGCTGTTTAAACATGGTTTTGTTAGTTTGGGGTTTTTGGTTTGTTTGTTTGTCTGTTTGTCTTGTTTATTTGTTTGGCAGCACTAGGATTTAAACTCAGAGACTGGCAACAGCTCTACCACTTGAGCCATACTTCCAGTCCTTTTTGCCTTCAAGTTACTTTTCAGATAGGATCTCACTTTTTGCCCAGGGTTGGCCTTGAACCTCTGCCTTTCAAGTAGCTGGGATTACAGGCATGAGTTATAGTGCCTACCTTGGTTGATCTTTTTTTTGAAATAGGATGTTGCTATGTAACCCAGGCTGGCCTCAAACTCATAACCCTCCTGCCTCAGCACGTTAGTGCTAGAATTACAGATGTGTACCACCATACCCAGTTCATGTATTTTTTTGAATTATGAAAAAGATTGTGTTTAGAAGTCATTAGCATTTCTTCTTAGAAATAGATTAACTTGTTTACAACCTTTGTCTAAACTTCCAATTAGATTCATGATATCTATTTTGTTAGTTTAGAAAGATTTTTTATATATTCAGCTGTAAACTTTTTTCCAATTTATCATTTTCTTTTCAACTTATAGTGTTTTACTCATATATACAGTTAAAATTTTTTATATCTATGATTTCATGTCAATCTTTTGAAATACTTCAAATAATGTGAAATGTTTAAGGAAGGTTTTTCTGGCTAAAAGAAGGTTAACTTGAAATATATTTTATTTCAACCTCTACTACTAAAAATTTTTTCAACATAGTAAATAGGGTTTAGCTAATATAGTTGAATACTACATAAAAATAATTTAGAGCCGGACACCAGTGGCACATGATTCCAAATGTAATTTACTTGACCAACAGTTAACATGGTACTTAAAATGTGAAGGCACTGTTACACTTACCAATGCCTCACGCCCATCAACAAGTGTTTGTTGGTAAAGCAATTATACTTCCTGTATTCCTAGTTCTGTTCAACAACAAGATATCTGAAATAGGCAATAAACAACTGTCTCTACTTTTTTTTTTTTTGTTTGATGAGACATGTTCTTACCATGTACCCCAGGATTACCTGGAACTTGCTATCTAGCCCAGGCTGGCCTCAAACTTGAGATGCTCCTGTTTTAGCCCCCTGAGGACTACAATTACAGGCATGCACCACCATGTCCAGTTCATATCAGAAATGACTCGAACTGATACGAATTTAATATATAATTAACAAAATAAAATTTAATTTTAAACTAAGTAAAGAAGTCACTACTTAATTAGTGCTGTTGGGTTTCTATAACATATTCCTAACTTTATTAGAAAGAAGGGAGAAAGGGAAATAGAATAAACATGCTTGAAAAGAACATTGGGAGGGTATACTCTAAATTAGTAATGGTTAACTCTGGAAAGCC